GTGCTCTACCACTGAGCTACGGTGGCATATCGACAGCGGCGAGCCGTTGCGAGCCGGGCAATGTAGCGGCCCTGACGCCGTCTGACAAGGGGCCAGGCCCCGCCCTGTTCCCCCAGAATCACAACCCCCCCGCCCCGACCGAATCCCGAGTCTCGAGCCCGAATTCCGCCGCCGCTGGTCGACCCGGACGACACACAAGAATGTCGATATGAGCGAAAAATCCGCACAAACGGACCGCGGTCCCGGAATGGGTGGTTTATTCACGAATTGGCGTACAGAATTCGGACCGCCCGGTCGAAAAACATCTCCCACGCACACGGAGCCCCGATGACGGGCCCGCCGATTCAACCGCAGACCGGAGATCATTTGTGACCACCACCCACTCCACGGCGACGCATATCGCACAGAATCATGCCTCCGCCGCGCAGACACCCGACGGCGAGCGCAACGAACTGACCGACCTCATGCGGGCCATATCCGCGACCCAGGCGATCATCGAGTTCGACCTGCAGGGCAACATCCAGACCGCCAACGACAACTTCTGCGCCGCCACCGGCTACACCCTCGCGCAGATCCGCGGCCGCCACCACTCGATCTTCGTCCACCCCGATTACCGCGCCTCCGAGGCCTACCAGCAATTCTGGATCGACCTCGCGAACGGCGAGGCCCAGGCCGGGCAGTTCCGACGCATCCGGCGCGACGGCTCGGACCTCTGGATCCAGGCGACGTACAGCCCGATCTTCGATCAGGACGGGCGGCCGTACAAGGTCGTCAAGCTCGCGACCGACATCACCGACGTGAAGCGCCGCCAGCAGGAATTCAAGGAAACGACCCAGACGAACGCGCGCGAATCGCTCGAGACGTCCACCGCCGCGGCGCAGCAGGCGGAGCAGGAAGTCCAGGCCCTGCAGAGCGCGATGGCGGAAATCCGCGCCTCGAGCGACAACATCTCGCGCATCCTCACCGTCATCAACGACATCGCGCGCCAGACGAACATGCTCTCGCTCAACGCGGCCGTCGAAGCGGCGCGCGCCGGCGACGCGGGTCGCGGCTTCGCCGTCGTCGCGGAGGAAGTTCGCCAGCTCGCCAAGCGCAGCGCCGACAACGCCCAGAGCACCGAGCAGATCCTCGAAGAGTCCTCGCAGTCCATCGAGACGGGCGTCCAGCTCACGGACCGCGTCGTCGAAGCGCTCCGCAAGATCGACGAGGGCTCACAGAAGGTGCGCGACCTGATGACCACGCTCTCGGAATTCGAGAACGGCTAAACGCGCGACACCAGAATGTGAATGACTCCGCACCATCAAAGGCGTCGCCTGCTTAGGCGGCGCCTTTTTCGTCGGACTTCACGATATGAAGAGACTCGATCATGGCCAGATCCAGCACAATCGGGACCACCCGCTCATCGAAGAGCGTGATGTGACGCCCTTCCGGGTGCGTCCCGATCATCTCGGGATGGGGCACGACGTATTCACGCCCGCCCACCGTCTTCAAAATGAACGGCGAAAATGGCTGACGCCTGCGTGCCTCGATGATCGGTTCGATCTTCACAAACCTATCATACCCCTATCAAATGCCTGTTCAAGCAGTTTCCTGGGATTCCGCTCCAACTTGGAATCACCATCACGTATCCGCCCCATAGAAGGCGATTTCGGAGATGTCCCGCATCGGGATCTGCGTGATTTTTCCCTTCGGGTCCGCGTGGAGCACCTCATCCCGTCCCGGGAATATCGCGTACTCCGCGCTGCATCGCACGTGATACGTCCGCCCTTCACGTGTCTCGATCATGAATGGCCTCCACGGGTCATTCCTTGTGCGTTCGAGGATGTCTGAGCGTTCCATACCCGTATTCTACGAGGCGACCCCCCTGCCCTTTCACCCATCACCGTCTCACCGTCTCACCCCACACCCGCGCCCATGCACGTCCCCAAACCCGCCATCTTCTTCGACCGCGACGACACGCTCATCGAGTGCAACAGTGTCACGCCCGATGGCGACCTGGGCAACCCCAAGCTCGTCAAGCTCAAGCCCGGTGCCGCGGACGCCGTCGAGCAGCTGAGCCTCGCGGGGTACCGCATCGTCGTGTTCACGAACCAGGGCGGCGTCGCGCGGGGGAGCCACAGGGTTGTGGACGTCTACGCCGTGAACGACCGCGTCAACGAACTCCTCGGCGGGCGGGTCGACGCGTTCCGCTTCTGCCCGTGGCACCCCAAGGGCACCGTCGAATGCTGGGCGCGCGAGCACCCGTGGCGTAAGCCCGCGCCGGGGATGATCCTGGACGCCGCGCGGTCGCTCCGCGTCGACCTCTCCCGCTCGTGGGTGATCGGCGACGCGGAGCGCGACTGCCACGCCGGGCGCGAGGCGGGGTGCTCGACGATCCTCATCGGCGACGACCTCGCGATGGACGCGGACTACAAGGCGAAGGACCTCAAGGGCGCCACCACGATCATCCTCGGGAAAGACCAGCGCGCATGACCGCGGACGCGAGCGTCACCCTCCGCGCCCTCAAGGGAACGCCCCTGAAGCACGCGGGGGTGCGGGAGATGGTCGTCTCCTCCGCCCACGCGATCGCGGAGCGCAACGGCCTCGCCCTCGCCTCCGTCGACGCGGAGGACGACCGCGTCACCCTCACCCTCCACGAGGGCCAGGTCGCCGCGCTCGGGCTCGCGAGCGAGCTCCGCCGCGTCACCGACGCGTGGTACCGGAAGAAGTACGGCGGAACCTCGCTCTGGGGGCACCTCCCGGGCGAGGAACCGAGCGACGACGATGCGGACGACGCGTAGGATGGTCGCGACACCCGTGACCCGCAGACCCGCACAACCCGGCGGCGCCGGCCCGCGCCCGACGCGACGCAAGCCCTCGCGCCTCCTCGTCGTCCTCCCCTCGTGGGTCGGCGACGCGGTCATGGCCACGCCCACCCTCCGCGTCCTCCGCGAGTACCTCCCCGGCTCGTTCATCGGCGCCCTCGCCCGACCCGGCATCGACGAGCTGCTCACCGGCACGAGCTACTTCGACGAGCTCCACGTCGACCGCGCCGTGGGCGTGATGGGCCCGAAGCGCGTCGCGAGCAAGGTCCGGCCCCGACGCTACGAGACCGCCCTGCTCCTCACCAACTCCTTCTCCACCGCCCTCATCACGCGCCTCTCCGGCATCGAGGACCGCATCGGCTACGACCGCGACGGGCGCGGGCTCCTGCTCACCGACCGCGTCCCGGCGATGCGCCGGCGCGACGTCCCGCCCTACAGCAGGTCCGAAACCGACCCCAGCGCCTGGGCCCCCGTCCCCGCGTGCGACTACTACTACGCCCTGGCCGAGCGGCTCCTCGCGAGCTGCGGGCTCACGCCCGGGCCCATGGGCCCCATGGAACTCGTCGTCACGGAATCCGACGAGCTGACCGCCCGGTCCGTCCTCGCCAAGGCCGGCGTGCCCGCGGGAGCCCGGCGCGTCGTCCTCAACCCCGGCGGCAACGACACCGCCAAGCGCTGGCCCGCCGAACGCTACGCCGCCCTCGCGGACTACCTCGCCAAGCACCACGCCGTCCGCGTGCTCGTCAACGGCGCGCCGAACGAGAGCGGGCTCGTGCGCGAGATCATCGACGCGTGCGACGAATCCGCCAGCGTCCACGACCTCGCCAGCGCCGGCGTCACCCTCGGCGCCCTCAAAGCCATCGTCCGCGACGCCGCCCTCATGGTCACCAACGACACCGGCCCGCGCCAC